ATTTATTTATGTAATAAAATATATTACCTTTTTTAACCATCAACGATATGAAAAGATTGGGTCAAGGGACCACATTATTATTTTTTTACTAACATCGTAAATTACTCACGCTTTATGCATGTTTTTAAAATTGTCCTAACAACTAGTCATATTCTATAAAACAATCGCGTTGTTAAAAGTTATTCCAACTTTTTTTTTTCTTAAAGAACATGAATATATATTTGAAAGAAGTTTGACCTTATTAAATCCAATGATGCCTTATAAATTCTAAAATATATAAATGGTCATGGTTTAAACTAGGTGTCATATAACATAGTAACATTTTAAAAAATTTGACGTGTAAACAGGTAAATTACATGTAGAAAATAGCACAAATGCATTTAAAAACATATCCATAAAATTAACATTAATTGAGAATATGTGAGATATATACAATAAGTAATAGCTAGTTACTGTTGATTTTAATTTTAATTTTATTTGATTATAAACTTATAACATATATATTGATTTTCCAATACTTTTAAGATACGAAATCAAGTACATATTTTTCGTTTCTATTTTATGTGAAAGTTAAAAAACAATTAGTTTTTGCAAACTTTATCCTACAAAATCACTCACTAATAAAAAAATCATCATCATACAAATCACGTGTGTGAAAGAATTAGACGAAGATGTTGACATTTGGTCAATGAAGCACCACCATGGCCAAGATGCTACCCACCAACCATCCCTCTTTCCAAAATTTGTCCCCTTTTTCATAATCCCTTTAACTTCACTCCAACAAGCTCTTTGCTTCATGCCTTCATCCGGCTTATGTTCATTCGGAGTTTGCATCCTATGAATTGATCCATTTAATTTAAACAAAAAAACCCTTAAACTTCTGATTATCCTTCAAATAAAATTATATAAAATTTAAAAGCTTCAATAATTATTTAAGTTTAAAAATAGGAAAATATCACTATGACACAATGAACTATATGTTTTGTGTTGAATTGATATTAATGATTTTTTTTAGAAAATTACAACTTTAGCCATTTTTTTTAATCTCTTTGCAAAAAATAGCAAAAAAAAAACTCAACATTCCAATGGATTAGCGCCATCTACGAATTTGAATGTTGATCTGCGAAGGTACAACATTGTAAAACATGGTCGTGCATTGTTGACTTGTACGTTCGCTGTTAATTTTTTTTCTGGTTTTTTCGGATATAAATACCTCTCCCTTCCACACACGTTCGCAGATGAAGTGAGTTCATCTGCGATTTTCTCTCACTTCATCTACGATTTTGCGGTGGTAATATTTTTTTTTACAAAAATTTTAACTACGAAAATGATAGGTTTGACGAATCCATAGGATAGTTACTTGTGGGAGTTCATCTTTGATGATCATCAGGAGACTTGGAATAAAATAAATATGTTAGACAGTTGTATGAATATGATTTATGTTTTAAAAATGATTATTGATGCATCTTCAGGTTGTATAAGTATCTTTCATAGCATATTTTTTGTATAGTTAGAACTTGATTTGTGATGCATAGATTCATCTAAAAGGCTTGAGAGAGTTTTCCCAAAGAAAAATCAACACAAATGAGGGTTATAAAAAAAATTAGGAATTTATATTCTGAAAAAGCGCAAATTGTAGGTGGTTGTCCATCTGCGAACGTACGACATATAATGTATAACCACGCTTTAAACACTTGTATCTTCGTATATCAACACTCAAAATCACAGATGGCTCTAATCCATCTGCAATTTTGATGACTATTTTTATAATGTTTGATTTTTTTCTACTATTTTTTGCAAAGAGATTAAGGAAAATGGCTAAATTTGTAATTTGTTTTTCTTTCATGAAACAGGTCATTAAACTTGTAAAACCGATATGAGTTAATCCATTAGGCCAGACGGTATACAAAACTTGCACAATTCGATGAAGTTGACTTTGGCATTTCACTACACCGTGGCTGCGGTTAATGTGCGGTGAAGCGCCATTCGGTGTATGAAAATTGCACTCTCTTTCCTCTCTTTCTCCTCCCCTTTTCTCCTCTAATGGATAGAATTGTCATATATATATATATATATATAT